TATTTTACGCTGTACTCAGCAGTATTCCAGCTATATGTCGGCGGTCTGTAAAAATAGAGTCAATCCAGTGATCAAAAGCATGAGCATCGACCTATGCAACTGGGATACGATGACATGTGTCAACCAAGTCAGCGAGCTTGATCACCCGATCCCGTTAGTTGCCTCTTGAGACAAACATTGGTTACTGAAGATTAATTCTAACCCAGATCTTCACGGGTCGTTCTTGTTGATGAAATGTACAAGCAGTAATGTTAATATGCCTGAGTATTATTGCTGTCATAATAAGCATTGTCAGATATGTATTATTGCTGTCATAAGTAGCATTGTCAGATATGTATTATTGCTGTCATAATTAGCATTGCCAGATATGTATGGGTGTCATTTAAATGTTAATTACATCGCACTCAGCAGCAATTTACTTACATGTAAATGTAAAAAATCGAGTATCGCCATTCCACTGAGTAAAACAATGAACATCGATCTACACAACTGGGCTACGATGACATGAACGGTCAGCGAGACTAAGCAACCTTTCCCGTTACGACGAGCGTGGGTTGCTGAAGATCAGCTCTTACCTTGATCTGCACAGAGCCAATGACCGATCGTAGATCATACTGAGGTCTTTTATAATTATAGGAATGTTAAGAATGTTGCTTTCAAGAGGTAAATCGTGATAAGGGTCATAGCACAATGGAGACTTTATACTCTAATAGTGTTCTTGTCAAATTTTAACCCTGACCATTATTGAAATTAATGTATATTTAAATGAATATTTATTACTAAACTGAGAAGCTAACATTACCCCAAAGATCGGTACGTACATAAATACAAAATCAAATCAACGAAGAACCACATAACACCATGAATGATAATGAGTTATATTGAAACACTGAGTTTTAGATTTACAATTTCAGTAGGCAATGCAGTTGGTTAAATACGTGGCTCCAGCAGTAGATAAGATGTTCCATACACAAATCGCTGCATTCAAGAATGTCCTGGATTTGTAACAGTGGAATGTCTTGTATGAGACACATGCTTCACTCGTGAATCCAGGAAACTGTGTTGAATTCAGGCACATAAGTTTTCCAGGAAGCGATGCGAATCATGAAATTCCCCAAGAAGTGAGATGGGAAGGTAACTCTAATCTTGCTAAAACTCGATATTATACAAGCGCTTCAATCAGTGTGCTGCCAGTTAACGTCACTTCCACTGGGTAAAAGGTAACTGCATCCACATTACAACCCCATCATTCATTTTCACCTTTAATACCCAAATTTTGTCGTTTTGGTGTTTTCTTGAAAGCAAATTCATTGTCACAAACACTACCCACAAAGAATACATATTGGGCATTATTCCACCATACAGATCATTTATAAGTCCATCTTACCTTCTTCCCTCAATCCATCCGTGCACCATACAGATCATTTATAAGTCCACCTTACCTTCTTCCCTCAATCCATCCGTGCACCATACAGATCATTTATAAGTCCACCTTGCCTTCTTCCCTCAGCCATCCGTGCACCATTTATAAGTCCACCTTACTTCCCCTCAATCAGCCATCCGTGCACCATACAGATCATTTATAAGTCCACCTTACCTTCTTCCCTCAATCCATCCGTGCACCATACAGATCATTTATAAGTCCACCTTACCTTCTTCCCTCAATCCATCCGTGCACCATACAGATCATTTATAAGTCCACCTTACCTCTTCCATCCGTGCACCATACAGATCATTTATAAGTCCACCTTACCTTCTTCCCTCAATCCATCCGTGCACCATACAGATCATTTATAAGTCCACCTTACCTTCTTCCCTCAATCCATCCGTGCACCATACAGATCATTTATCATTTATAAGTCCACCTTCCACCTTACCTTCTTCCCTCACCATCCGTCTTCATTTATAAGTCCATCTTACCCTCAATCCATCCGTGCACCATACAGATCATTTATAAGTCCACCTTACCTTCTTCCCTCAATCCATCCGTGCACCATACAGATCATTTACCATACAGATCATTCATTTATAAGTCCACCTTACCTTCTTCCCTCAGCCATCCGTGCACCATACAAGTCCACCTTGCCTTCTTCCCTCAATCCATCCGTGCATCATACAGATCATTTATAAGTCCACCTTACCTTCTTCCCTCAATCCATCCGTGCACCATACAGATCATTTATAAGTCCACCTTACCTTCTTCCCTCAGCCATCCGTGCACCATACAGATCATTTATAAGTCCACCTTACCTTCTTCCCTCAGCCATCCGTGCACCATACAGATCATTTATAAGTCCACCTTACCTTCTTCCCTCAATCCATCCGTGCACCATACAGATCATTTATAAGTCCACCTGCATCCATACAGATCATTTATAAGTCCACCTTACCTTCTTCCCTCAATCCATCCGTGCACCATACAGATCATTTATAAGTCCACCTTACCTTCTTCCCTCAGCCATCCGTGCACCATACAGATCATTTATAAGTCCACCTTGCCTTCTTCCCTCAGTCAATCCGTGCACCATACAGATCATTTATAAGTCCACCTTTCTTCCTTCTTCCCTCAGCCACCTTGCCTCCCCTGCACCATACAGATCATTTATAAGTCCACCTTGCCTTCTTCCCTCAGCCATCCGTGCACCATACAGATCATTTATAAGTCCCTTTACCTTCTTCTTCCTCAATCAATCCGCACCATACAGATCGTTTACCAGTACAGATCATTTATAAGTTACAGATCACCTTACCACCTTACCTTCTTCCCTCATCAATCCGTGCACCATACAGATCATTTATAAGTCCACCTTACCTTCTTCCCTCATCAATCCGTGCACCATACAGATCATTTATAAGTCCATCTTACCTTCTTCCCTCATCAGTCCGTGCACCATACAGATCATTTATAAGTCCACCTTACCTTCTTCCCTCAGCCATCCGTGCATCATACAGATCATTTATAAGTCCACCTTACCTTCTTCCCTCATCATTCCGTGCACCATACAGATCATTTATAAGTCCACCTTGCCTTCTTCCCTCAGCTATCCGTGCACCATACAGATCATTTATAAGTCCATCTTACCTTCTTCCCTCAGCCATCCGTGCACCATACAGATCATTTATAAGTCCACCTTACCTTCTTCCCTCATCATCCGTCATCATTTATAAGTCCACCTTTTATAAGTCCACTTCTTCCCTCATCAATCCGTGCACCATACAGATCATTTATAAGTCCACCTTACCTTCTTCCCTCAGCCATCCGTGCATCATACAGATCATTTATAAGTCCACCTGACCTTCTTCCCTCATCAATCCGTGCACCATACAGATCATTTATAAGTCCACCTTACCTTCTTCCCTCATCAATCCGTGCACCATACATATCATTTATAAGTCCATCTTACCTTCTTCCCTCAGCCATCCGTGCACCATACAGATCATTTATAAGTCCACCTTACCTTCTTCCCTCATCAATCCGTGCACCATACAGATCATTTATAAGTCCATCTTACCTTCTTCCCTCAGCCATCCGTGCACCATACAGATCATTTATAAGTCCATCTTACCTTCTTCCCTCATCAATCCGTGCACCATACAGATCATTTATAAGTCCATCTTACCTTCTTCCCTCAGCCATCCGTGCACCATACAGATCATTTATAAGTCCACCTTGCCTTCTTCCCTCAGCCATCCGTGCACCATACAGATCATTTATAAGTCCACCTTACCTTCTTCCCTCAGCTATCCGTGCACCATACAGATCATTTATAAGTTCACCTTACCTTCTTCCCTCAATCCATACGTGCACCACCCACAACCATAGCAATCAGTCCATCCATCAACAATCCATAGTTATGTCAATCAATACATCAACCACCTTTACCTTGTGCCGTCAATCGTCATCCATCTTATCTTATTTCTATAAGTCAGAGAGACACACACACATATTAACAACACGGTCAGATAGACACTTAAAATCGTCATTATCAAGCACCTCGCTCTTATAGTCAGTTATAAACACAACATACCCACATTAATTCCACGCGCTCTGGTCATATAGGCATGAGTATAATTATTGTGTCACACTTTTGTAAAAACAGCCACTACACATATAAACACACATATAAACACACAATTCAACACATTTTCACACAGTTGATCTTAACACACGCTGCTTGATGGTTTACAATGAAGAACTCAATTGATGGTTTATATTGAGGTAAAATGTACTCACGCTATTTCATGGTTTACAATATGGTTTATGAGGAGGTAAATCAAGGCATCCAATAAAGCTTACATTTTAAGGATGCCCAGTCACTCAAAAGACGCCATGGGCACGAGTTGTTGTGAGAAACTATCTAAACATCAATGTATTGAGTTGGTACCGCACTGTGTAACTTAACCAGCTATAATACAGATAATTCCACGGATCGAATGTTATGAGAATGAAGTCAATACTAGAAAATGACCTTTACATAACACCAATTAACTGGAGCCGTGAGTAGTGCAATAATCCATTGCTTCTACGTTGTGTTGTCGACTTTCTGCCCAGAGAATGCATAGTCTTTATCGATTCAGTCCAAGTCATAATAAACTAGTGAGAGTGGCAAAATTTAGCTTCTTGTAGTAGGCCTATAAGACATGACGATGAAGAGACAGATCTATACAGCATGAGAAATCATATACGTCGAGCACAGAACTCCCCATGTCGATATTCGTCTTACTATCATACTACGTGCCGTGGCTTGCTTTACAACTCGGGCTCGCGTAAGGCCGGTTAACACTACGCTAGAGTCTCGTTAATAGCGTATTACAATAGCACGTGGAGGGGACAGTTAGGCAAAGTTTTAGTCACTTGATGGGCAGCAAAACTTACACTTTTCTGTCACAGAGAGCTCCACCCATTAAATACAAGTCCCGCCCCGATTGATGCATTGTCTAGTACATTACTCTGAGCATCTGTTACTGAGAGCGATACTGCCAACCTAGGACCCCTCGGCCCATATGCTTGTCGGTGCGCTACCCCTCGTCTTGAGGTGATATCACTCGCTAAATTAGAGCGAATCCCTGCTCTAGGGTCATAGCGAGCCTAGCACCCCTGGTCAGGCAGATAGAGAGATAGTGGGAGTGAGAGAAGACATGAAGCGAATCGACTCTAATCTTTATGCTGCTTGTATATAAAGGATTTGTTTTCGATTCCAGGGTTACTGAGAGCTCCCCGGATGAGTCAAGATTGGCTCTAATCACATCAATTACACGGGTTTTGCTCAGAGCTCCTGTTTCGCGAGCTGGAACATCAAACTTTTCAAGTTGGCTTTTTGTGAAGTTGCACTCAAGCGTAAGGCCAAAATGTCCGATTTTTCAAGGATTTTAAACTTTTTGGTTTACGCTACTGTTTTAGCGTGTGTGAAATGTGGTCGCCAAAGTAGACAATTTGTTGTCAGGGAGACAAAATATGGAACAGTTCGTGGCTTTGTTGATCATGTACACTCAAACCACAAAGTTGAAAAATATCTCGGGATTCCCTATGCATCTCCTCCGGTTGGAAAGCTTAGATTTGAGGTAAGTGTTAATTTGACTCTTTCACAATGCCTGGTCGATATGTCGACTATGCTTGCTGTGATGTATCCACATGGAAACGAAAGTATAGAATCTCATTACAGGACTTGCACAGCCAACAAAGTGACATGCGTCATAATAACTGAAATGAACGTCTACGAAGATGGTATTATTAATTCTAGGGTTTTGTGACGTTACTTTATAACACGTTTCATGCATACAAATATTTACCTGAATACGTTGTAGAATGGTTGAACTCATTCTTTCTTCAGAAAACAAGCTACATCTATGCTACAGTGTTAATGAAAAATTAACGAAGCATACAACTTTATGGATAACAACTTCGTGTTTATTGCATAGAGAACGTTTCAATGTAGACAGTAACACTGTCAGAAGATAAAGTGTGACATCTTCATACAGAATTAAGAGAAATTATTTTCTTATTAAAAACCATTACCACCTCCTATCTCACACTTGAGTAGTATATCATAAGTGCCTATGTACCAATTTACTCTTTAAAATACGTTTGATGTTAATTTACTTTATGCTATATTTACCATGAGGTATGCATAATGTATTGTTGTTGAACGTTAGTATATGGTTTCAGTGTTATTTCCGTATAACTTAATCTTTTAAGCCATAGCAGGACAATACATTAATGATATTATACTGATAGTTGTGTCTACAACGATTGCTATCTGTCCATGTAACCTCTTGCATGTTGTTATCAAAGCGATAACAGTGTGTGGTATTTTACATTAATAGCCTCGAATAGACACAACATACTGATAACGTTACGCATACATTGTGTCACAATCAACAGCAATGTCTTTCACCATTAGCTATTTAACCATTAACAGTTATAATATTATGAAACCGGCAGTCATAATATCATGTGTACTGATTATCCAGACACCAGGAAAGGTTGGTAATTGAATGGGCTGGAGACTAACTGTCCGTATTTAGTAGAGGCTTGTAACAAGGAACAATAATACAATTCTGAGAGTAACTTGTTATTGTGTCAGTTATAGACGAAATGTAAAATATGCCTTTTTAGTGAGATTTGTCAGATGTGATAAATCAGTTGTACCATATATATAGTGGCTAGATAACGGTTGGCATGAAAGTGATGTAATACATGGTGTGACTAGATATTTGCTGATATAAACGTAATGCCATGCGTGTTGTGGCTAGAATATGGCTTGTGACAGTGCTGTCATATATATAGTGGCTGGGTAAGGTTTGTTATAACAGTGATGTCAAACATGTTCTGACTAGATATCTGTTACCATAAAAGTAATGTCATGTATGTTGTAGCTAGATCATGGTTGTTGTGACAGTAATGTCATACATGTTGTGACTAGATATAGTTGTCATAAAAGTAATGTTATGTATGTTGTAGCAGCTAGATTATGGTTGATGTGACAGTAATGTCATACATGTTGTGACTAGATATAGTTGTCATAAAAGTAAAGTCATGTATGTTGTAGCAGGTAGATTATGGTTGATGTGACAGTAATGTCATACATGTTGTGACTAGATATAGTTGTCATAAAAGTAAAGTCATGTATGTTGTAGCAGCAAGATTATGGTTGGTGTGACAGGGGTGTCATTAATGTTGTGACTAGATATTTGTAGCCACAAAAGTAATGTTATGTATGTTTTTGGTAGATAATGGTTGGTATAACAGTAATGTCATATATGTTGTGGCTAGATATTTCTAATCATAAAAATAATGTCATGTGTGTTGTAGCTAGATTATGGGTGGTGTGACAGTACTGGCATATATGTTGTGACCAGATAAAGTTGTCATAAAAGTAATGTCATGTATGTTGTGGCTAGATTATGGGTGGTGTGACAGTAATGTCATATATGTTGTGGCTAGATATAGTTGTCATAAAAGTAATGTCATGTATGTTGTGGCTAGATTATGGTTGGTATAGAAGTAATGCAGTTTTGTCGTGACTTGAAAATAATTGGAGTACAGTGATACCCTTATGGATCTATCAGCTTTATGTTTATATTAAGCTTTGATTAACTTCATGGATTAGCTATTTTATATGATACACTCTGACATAGCGTGACGAATCTGATCATGATCACTACTGGCCCTACAGTCATTTCCTTCAAATTCAGATCAAGACAACATACCACGAGTCCGGGCCTGGTGATATAACGTCCAACTTACTTTATTTATATATTGAGGTCAATGTGTGATTGCGAATCATTAATGAACGCCATGATCAGTTTTGTAAGGGGCTTATACCTGCTGTGGGACATCTCCCAGTAAATCTGCTATGATCTGCAATCATCTCTAGTTCTAGTTCCAGAATCAATGTCGAGCTTCACCTGCTCACACCTACATATCATCGTGGATTAAATTTGTCATTTCACCTGTTCATATTTTTCTGTCTTAGGGGGATGTGTTTGATTGTTACTTGCTCATACTTTAAATCATACTAGTATATTCAACAGCCCATTAAACAATGCAACTAAAACATACATTTCTGAAATGTACCTTTAACTACTTCTAAACATTACCCTCCAACTGCACCATGGCACATAGTGGATAATTCACACATATACGTCCACACAGGGATACATACACGCACGCACGCACGCACACACACACACACACACACACACACACGCACGCACGCAGCGCGAGCACACACACACACACACACACACACACTCTCTCTCTCACCCCCTCACTCACACACACATACACACACAGACATACTTACAACATTTGTGACAGTAAATCTTAACTCACTCACTACAAACACGTACAAATAGACACTCAAAATCGTCAGTATCAAGCACCTCACTTCAAATATGGGAGTTAAATAGCAAAGTAGTCATATACTGAGCCTGATGCTTAATCACCGCTGTCGTCCTTATGTTATTTCCCCAAAAGGGAATTCATAAACAATAAAACCAAATGATATTTACACATAGGTGTAGCATTGAAAAAAAGATAACTTGGCGACTTAAATGAAATGCCTGACATTTTTATTTTAAAGATCATTAAAAGCGTTTAATTCTGTACACTAAATGGGTTGTTGCTGTTACAATGGTATCATAAAAATGTTGATGCATGTAGCAGCTTGTTTTGAGTGTAAAGATGTGATACTTTGCCAACAGTTAACATAGCTTCAATTACCTTTTCTCAGTCTTATCGTAAACTGGTATGATAAACCCATTACGTTTAATCAAGGAGCACGACTTTTGCCAGAGTTTCTCTTTTATCTAAATAGAATGTGAATACAACAGACATTCTACATTTGAAACGTTTGAATAGGCACATGCCAATTCAAGAACAGTTAATCAAAGTCTAAACACATGCATTAAATATGTAAGTGACTATCAGATTCTAATAGGTTTGTTGTCAGTTTTTTTGACATATCTTAACATGTTTTCAGCAGATGAAGTAGAGGTTAAAAGAGTACATTATGTTTCGTTTAAAATACTGTGCAGCCTTCTCTGTTCTCTTTCACTGTTTGTTTGTCTGTCTTGTTTAAGAATTTGATTTTTAATGTATGCAAAAGGTGTACACCCAATATCTAAATTTGAAGTGTATGTAAGGTTATAAAAGTTTGGACTTCATATACATGGTACAAATGTCTGGTTCCACTGCTCCAACACTACTTCTTTTGTTTCTGAACAAACAAACAAACAAAAACACATTTTCGAGTTTCTTATGTGAAGTGTAATTTTGAAAATGCCAAAAACATTGACAGATATCAAGTTAATAGTATACTGGAAATACATTCTTCATCAGAATGGGTGGAATCGTGCTGTTGTTAGTTTGCATTGATATTTTGTTTCTAAACATGTAGGGATGGTAAGATAGCCTAGTGGTTAAAGCATTCGCTCGTCACACCAAAGACCCGGGTTAGATTCACACATGGATACAATGTGTGATGACCATTTACGGTGTCTCCCGTCATGATATTGCTAGAATAGTGCTAAAAGCGGCGTAAAACTTAACTCACTCATTGTAAACATGCCAAAGGGACTCAGCAGTAGACAGTTAAAAGATTAAAGTTTTAAACACACAGTAATAAATGTATGTATGTATGTATGTATGTATGTATGTATGTATGTATGTATGTATGTATGTATGTATGTATGTATGTATGTATGTATGTATGTATGTATGTATGTATATGTATGTATGTATGTATGTATGTATGTATGTATGTATGTATGTATGTATGTATGTATGTACATGTATGTATGTATGTATGTATGTATGTATGTATGTATGTATGTATGTATGTATGTATGTATGTATGTATGTATGTATGTATGTATGTATGTATGTATGTATGTATGTATGTATGTATGTATGTATGTATGTATGTATGTATGTATGTATGTATGTATGTATGTATGTAATGTAAGTTACAGAAAGAAGGGTTTAATTTTAAGAGAATACAATGGTATAATGTGTTCGCAGCACTTTTAGAAATAAGCATAATTGCAAATAGGATTTACTATTTTTGATTCAAACAATCTAGTATTGTAGCCAGACAGTCAAATAATTTGGCGCCTCTGGTATTCATCAGATAATTCCTCAGAAATAATGTCAAATCCGGTTACACGTGGAGCTTCATTTTTGATATTTGACGTATGACATTTGACATTGGGAACTAGATCATCAGAGTTCTGAGTCGTCACGTTTGATAAACATGGTGCTAAATGTTACTATATCCCTGGGGCGAGACACAACCAAGGCAGTTGCGTGTTAGAAGTAATTCATAGATACTTGCGACAAAAAATCGAAGTGGATAGTAAAGATGGCCCATATTTCCAGGCAACTGTTCAAAAATGAATACGCCTTTATTGACCATAAGCCGGGGTGTCGTGAATGATATAGCCTTTAGTCAAAGCGACGTGTGTTTTATCATATTTATGTGCCTGATTAGCTCGGATAGAATTGGAGTGTATTTACTAGGAAATGTCGTTTTAGTTAAAGCCGTCAGTGAATGTGAAAA